CAAATGCCAGGGAGCCAAGTGGAGACATGTGTGGTGTTTTTTTTTTTCTTGCTTGACAAAAATTTTTAGCCGTGTGTTCGGTATTGTTTGGGAGAGCATCCCTACTTGCGGCCCGCAGCTGTTTTCTTTGGAGTAATATGGCCCTTGCCGCTTTCCCAGTTGTGCAGGCCTGGTGTGGACTGTGCCAAAAGCTGAATTAAGCTATTTTGACTTAAGCCATGCAATTATCAAATTGCGGTGCTAATTTCGGGTTTAGCCCCGCTGTGTAGACGCATCCTTCCAGTTTAAAGCACTTCCACGGCAACCCTTTACATTTTAAACTGTTAAGTGTAGACAAAGCCCAAGCTCCAGAGACTTCAGATGCTGCTGAATTATCGAGCTTTCTCCCACCCATGCCTGTTAGAAGGAGGAGGGTGCTGGCAGCTTTCGCCACTTTTAGTCCTGACACTGGGGCCCTGTAATTGTGTCCAACCAAGGGACCCATTGGCAACTTGTCAGCAGCCTCGACTTTGCAACTGCTTTGGTGAGAATAAAGAGATTGCACCCATCCTTGTTAATAAGGAGGTGCAGGCCCCAGAGACTACTCATTCCAGCATACAGTGCTAAATACGAATTCAAGCAGCCCAGCCGTGCTGCATAGCAGCCTAATTGCACCTTCATACTAAAGAGAAGAGCAACCATGAGCTCCCTCAGACTCTGTGGGCTGCACATAGACCCCTTCCTGGCCTTAGTGCCTCACATAAACTGTTCACTGCTGTGCTCCTGTGTGGTAATGTACCCAGCATGTGGTGATTTACAAGTTGTCCAGCAGGCCAAGTGCATTCAACAATACTCTGGAGCCAGGTCTACACTACTTGAGAAAGTTGACCTGAGATACACAACTCCAGCTAGGAGAATAGCATAGCTGGAGTTGACATACCTTAGGTTGAATTTCTGCCACGTCCCCACTGTGGGAGGTCAATGGGAGAAATTCTCCTGTTGACTTCCCTTACTTTTCATGAATTGAGAGAGTACCTTGATGGGGGTGCCATCAGCAGTTAATTTAGTGGGTCTCTACTAGACCTTCTAAATTGAACCCCGTGAGGTCGATCTCCGAAGTGCCCATCTTGTGGTAAGTGAAGACAAGCCCTTGCTATCAGTGAAGACTGTAATGGAGAAATACAGAAATAATGATATTTCCAATTTGTACAGGAAAGTCACTTTCCCAAAGTGCTGGTCTATAGCCTTTGACTTCAGCAGGCTTTGGATGGAGGCCTTATGCCCGTGAGTGGCATGAGAATGAGCTCTCTCTCTCCTGGCTGTTTTTCCCTGGAGGGCCATGAGGAGCAACTTGTATCATGGACGTAGATTGTAAAGCAAGCCCTTCTTGCTCTGTTTCTGGCCACTGGCAATGGGGGATATTGGGAGTAGCTTTGCATGAAAACACTTGACAGGAGCAGTCATTTGCATCTGAAAAATAGGTGACCGGAAAGCATCCCATCAGGCTAACAGAGCCTAGGGAGCCACTTGATGATTGCAGAGAATACCCAGTGCAAGTGACTGTAATTAACTAGAAATGACATCCGAAAAGAATAGGCAGTTTACAAGCTTATCTAACTCTTCCTCTCTCCAGTGTGTACCCAGGGATCTCCCATTGTTGGGAATGGTCTCTGTCAGTCAATGTATTGCAAAAGAGCATCCCTCAGACATCAGGCTGCTTTTGTCCTGTTTTTAATAAGTTACCAGTGATAATACCTGCGAGACTAGGTGGCTGAGATAAAAACTTTTATTAATATATTGCAAAAGCGCTGTGTAAGCTTGAAAGTTTGTCTCTTTCACCAACACAAGCTGGTCCAATAAAAGATATTACCCGACTCACCTCATCTCGCCAATGTCCTGGGACCAATATGGCTATAATAATACTGAGTACAGTAATGGTAACACCTAGCACTGCTATGTGACTTGGTCTTTTCATAGCATTATCTATCTATCTATCTATCTATCTATCTATCTATCTATCTATCTATCTATCTATCTATCCTCTAATGAACTCCAATCAATAAGATATGCTGCTGTTGCCTGTCATTTTGATTTGTTTGATTCACTAGCCACCCCTGCTAGAATTTTATCTTCTCTGTAGTTATTAAGTCTCAAGTGTTTAACAACAGAATATTGCTGTTTAATTAACCTACAAATCAAGTTCTTCATAAAACTGTTGCACTGTATGCGCCTCTGTTCACTAGTGGTTTAAAAAAGCATTTTTCACAGATGCAGCTTCCCTGAATATGAACAGCAACCTTGAGATTGTTTCATGTCATCTGATATCCTTCCCCATTTCATTAATTATTGCAACTGAAGTGTGTGTGTGTGTGTGTGTGTGTGTGTGTGTGTAAAAGCCTCTACTCTGGTAGCAGCTGGTTTTATTTTTTTCCCTTCTTTGTGTGGAGAGACTCTCAAAAAATTTAGACTTGATCTGAGTAATGATAGACTCTCTGGGACAAGGTTCATCTGCTGGTTTGGTGTCTGTACAGCGCCTAGCACAGTGGAGGTCCTGCTCCATGAATGGCATTTCTTGGCGCTAATGAAATACAAACTATACAGAATACTCGTGATAATTTCCAAAGTCTCTAAATCTGAACTCTGACTACCATCCCCAGAAAAAGGGATGACAGCTGAATCTTGAATCAAGAAGAATCATGAAGCTAGGTGGAAGCTATCCATGGAGAGAAGAATATAAGGCATTTCTTCAGTCAGACAGAATTATTGCTCCCTTGATCTCTTATCAGTCCAAGGAGTCACTGATGCGTGCAAGGAGAGCCAAAGTATGGGATTTTAAATCATACTTCTTTTACTTTCAGTCCCAGTGTAGAGAGGGCCTTAACATGGACTGCGGCGTCTGCATGCCCATACATACAATGCTGCATCTTGCTCCAGGTACCACGAGCTTCATGGCTTGTATCTCTTGAGTAAAGGTGAGGGATGCTGTCATCTTCCTGTGAACCAGTTCAGCTTACTGGCCTTGTTCTAAATTCTCCCGGGTTTTAGGTATTTTCCCAATTCCACTGGCTCCTCAGATTTTGGCGACATCTCCCATTTTTCATAGCTCTTGGCAGGAAGGTTTCGTTTGATGGAAGATCTCCTTGCTTGGCTGCTTTTCCCACCCCTATTATCCTGTCTTCCCCTTCCCTTCACACATCCCAACTTTCCCGAAGGTTTGGTGGGGAAAATCCCATCTTCAGTGTCTTGGTGTTGCCTGTTTTGCCCTGCTGAGCTTTCCAGACGAGATCTGTGAAGAGAATGTTCCAAGCATGGGCAGGTTGGCTGCATTTGGAGTGAATTTTGGGCTGAGGAGGGACACAGCTTGTGGTAGGGTCAGGGGGTGCAAGTCACCCACAACTGGGATTCAGAGGTCAGGATGGGTGTGCGGGGGTAATATGGGGAGTGTCTTTCTCCTTCTCACTCTGGGGCCACATCAGTGAGGGTCTGGGTTTTTTTTGTTTGTTTGTTTTGCTTCTCACGTGTGTGTGTGTCCCAACTGATTGTTCTGTGGATCAGCAGCCCCCAACCTAAAAAAGGTTCCCTGACCTTGTATTAATGGGTCACATTTTAAATTTGCCCACCACTGGGTGATCTGGGGACCATGGGTAGTGGGTGACTCCCTGGCTTTGGAAAGCAAACCCTCGGTCCCATCCCTTCCGCCTGAGGCTCCACTCCTTCCCACCCCCACTGTGGCTGCTGCTGGCCCCTGCCCAGCCTCTCCCACACACACAATATAGCTGCTGGCCTTTGCTCCTGCCCCAGGGTAGCGCCCCTGCCCAGGACAATGTGGCCCCACCTTCCCCCGGCCCTGGAGCTTTGGAGAGCCAGTGGGGAGTGTGGCCCTGGCCTGCCCTGGAGCTCCAGAGAGCGGGGAGGTGGTGCAGCTGCAGCTAGTCCCAGCTTTGGAATGCCAGAGAGGAGAGCTGGGAAGCATGGACCCCGCCTCCCAGGCCATGGCTGCTGACCAGACCCTAACCAACTCCCTCCCCCAGCACTGCTGCCAGTCCAAGCGCCGAGCAGCCAGCGTGGGCCCCAGGTCTGGGAGAACAGGCATCACTGCCTGCCCCAGCCTCTGCACTGCAACAGCAGACTGGGGCAGGGAGCCTGGGCGTCTCCAGTGCAGCACAGTGGGGCCAGGTGAGGCAGTTTGGGAAGGCAATGCCTTCCCATGGCTTGGCAACCCTCCACCCATGGTGGGTGCCAAATACCAGGGGCTGGGGGAGAGAACTTGCAATGGGGGGAGGGGGAGGGAGAGGAACACAACTGCCCGCCGGGGAGTGAGGAAGGAGCAAGTTGAGGGTGGCGGTGCTGCTGCAATAGGTGGAAAGGCAGAAACAACTGGCAGGAGATTAGGCTATTTGGTCAGGAATCAGCTGTTGCTGGAAGCTTGGGTCCCGGGAAGCAGCTGGAGGACCTAGAAACTGCGGCTGAGTATCTCAGAGCAATTTACGGGGGACAAATACAGACCAACCAGTTCAAAATGCTGCTCCCCGGCCTCCACCTTTCCCCAAGAGCCTGCAGATCCACAGTGGCCTCTCCCCTAGTGCAGGACCCTTTTGTGCCCCCTTCTCTCTCTTTGCACCATTTCTCACTCGCTCAGGGCAGAGCTGACAGGCACCTTAGCCAGCTCACTGAGGCAGAGAGGAATGAGAGGTAGGGGCCGGGGAGAGAAATGTCCATATGCCCTTTGTTGGGAGCAGGCGTGAGAGCGGCTTTGCACGCAGGCTGGGCTGGGCTCCCAGGACACTGGAGCAGGGAGGGGGTGTGTGTGCCACAGAGCTGGATCACATAGTGCTAAAGGAGTGTGCCCTGATCCTTAGCATTCCCAGAGTGACTCCCCCCCCCACCCGCTCTCTATCTCTAGTGCTGTGTGGTTGCTGGTCATATTGTGCTGATATGTGAATGGTAACATCAGGCCACATTGTCTTGGTGGCTGGGAGTGAGGCAGGTTATCTGGGAGGCAGCTCCCCTCTCCCCACCCTGTATTGTCTAGGAGTATGTGTCTCTCTCTCCTTGCATATCTGCGGCAGAGGGTAAACAGGCCCATAAGCCTCCCTAGCACCCATTCTCTGGGAAGCTGCGAAAGGACACATTCACAGGTATTTTGTAGCCCTGAGCTCTCCCTTGGCTTGGAGCAAAACAGAGTCTTCCCAGAGAGATTGTCTTCTTTGCTTTCATCTAGCGCTCTTCTATGCACGGCTCTCAAAGGAGGTAGGTAAGTGTTGTTATCCCCATTTTACAGACAGAGAATCCAAGGTTAAGTGACTTGTCAGGGATCACTCCCTGAGTCAGTGCCCAGGCTGGCTACTGTACACAGGATGCCTGGCTCCTGTCATGCTCTCTGCCTCCCCTAAAACAGTTAAATCGTCAACTGTGAGCGTCATGCTGGCAAATGGATTTTCAGCACGAAAGCCAGATGCTCACAAGCAGACAGTCTCCCGCCCACCTCTGGAGCCTGGGGTGGGAGAATTATACTCTGCCCCAGCTGAGCTCATGGTTCGTCTGTGGAAGGCTCCATTTCCCCTTCCCAGGAGTGACGTTGCATTCACAGGATACCCACATTCCCCTCTTCCTGCCCACCTGTCCCTCTGAAGCCTGCTGACTAATCCTGCTCTCACTAAGGGAGGAATGTGAGCTTTCCCTCCTGAACACCATGTGGATTCATGCCCAGAATTTCCTAGCACTGTTCTATCTGAAACTCTGCAGCTGCCATTAACTATAACATTACTGTTCCATAAAGTACATGGGCTCCCTATGGTACAGGCAATTTTATTGTATTCTGGTCCCACCATGTCACTTACCCTGCCCCAGAGCTTTGAATTCTCCAGACCTTTTGGCCATCTAGGGCCCAATTCTGCTCCCATTGAAATCAATGGGAGTTGGACCGAGCCCTTGCATGTTCACGTATTGCAGTTTATTCCTGCCAAACCTGAACAGTGCTAGGCAAGCAAGCAAATCCCCAGAGATGGATGGGGCATATTGGGAGGAAGGATTTGGTTTGCAAGTCTAAAAATGGCAAAATCAGTCCTAGAGAACTTTTCAGTAAGCAGAGGCAGTGAAGGGAAACTGGTGTGGGTCTCAGGACACCTGAGTTCTGGTCCAGCCTCATCTGTGCAATATCAGATAAGATGCTTCATTACTCCGCGCCTTTGTCACCCCTCTCAGCCTTCATCTTAACTGTAAGCTCTTTGGGGCAGTGGCTGTCTCACTATGTGTAGGCACAGTGCTGGTGCGATGGGACTCTGAGCTTGGTTGTGGCTTCTTGCTGCATCTGTAAGGTACATAGTAACAAAGGAAGTGTCCCTTAAATCTCACAGGTACTGAGAAGCACATTCCCATTACCTCTCTGCACTGCCCTGTGCAGAGCTGTGAGCAAAGCACAGGTCTGCATGCGCTGATCCTGCCCTAAGAGCTCAGGAGAGAGCTGTAGAATTAGGTGGTGTAGAAATGAGTGAATTAAGAGCTTCTGTTGAGCACCTGGATTCTAACCTCTTGACTCATCAGTAGTAGGGATGTAAAATCCCATTTAATTAGCTAAGCAGTTAAATATATCGTTTAACCGGTTAACTCAGGGCTACTCAACGTTGAAAGCCCCAATGATATAGCACATGCCGAGGGCCGCAATTTAAGTGTAGTTGCATATACATGCAAATATATGCAAATAGCTTCTTTCACACTGACAGGCACAAATACAAAGATTAAGGCAAGACTACAACACACAGGCCACATTTAAGTCAGTTCTGCTGATATTAATAAAATGCAACACTTACCTGATTTCCACCCATATGACAGCACTTTTAATGAGCAATGACAGTCCAGGAATTTAACTACTAAAACACATATCAACAGAAGATCATTATATTGACTACTTTTTTGTTTTGGCTCCCACCTGCATGTTGAGCCCCATGTAACCCAAACCGCATCGTGGGCTGCAAGCAGATCGTGGGCTGCATGTTGAATAGCTCTGGGATAACTGTTTAAAGGGATGTGGGGAGCACTCCAGCGTGGCACTGGGCTGGAAAGGCCCCTTGTGCCTCCTGCCACAGTCAGGGGCTGCTCCAGCCCAGCCAGCACCCCTTCCTCCCCCCGCACTGGTTAACAGGTTAACTGGTTAAGTCTTTACATCCCTAATTAGTACTATAAAAAGTCTCAGGCCTCATTTTGGTCTCATGTATGCCACTTATGGTTTACACCACTGTCAATGAGAGCAGAATCGGACCCTTTGAAATTGGGATTGGGAGACTATACAGACAAGTTTCCCCAAAAACTCGTCTATGGAGTGGTGTGAAAAAATGTCAGAATCTTTCTGATAAGATACTGCCTTATGTATGTGAAATTTTCCACTTTGCAAGAGCTAAGTAACATATTATTATTTATTATCCAGCTCTTAACCCCCTGCAAATGGAAACAATACCTCATTATGTTTCAAAGGTTCTGAATTCTAGAACCATAGATATAAACAGAGTGTAAGGGCCTCCAAAACAAGTGTAATGAAGACTGAACACTTAAGGGGTCTATGTTTTGGAGCTCCTGAAGGATTCAAAAAAATGTGTGATATAGAACAAACTAATGCAAACATTTATGCTCGACAGCTGATGCAAATGGAGCTAATGCACCACAATACACTCACAGTTTATAAGGCCTGTCTGCTAGAATCTAAACGGGTTAATGGATGACAGTGCTAGTCAAGATTTATACGCTAGAATCTCTAGAGTGTGAAAGGGGTTATAGCGTCTCAATGCCAGCAGTGTTATAAGGCCTATACATCAGAATCCATGTGGCACTAAAGCAGTTAGTACATCATGGTTCCTGCAGAGCTAATCGTTGTCTTCAGTACACGCTAGAATCCAGGCAGTGCTATTGTTTTTCAGTGTGGAACCCTCCACGTTTTAAAAGGTTCTAGGGTAGAGTATAATTTACTCTTTTCTCTTTGAGCTTCATGATCTATCATCCAATTTGCTTATTTGGTTCTTGGCAGTGGGATGGGGGTAGGGTATGTTAAAAGCATGCGCTACGGTGCAATGTACATTCTTACAGAGTGCCTTTGTTTACCTGACCGTGGTAGCACAGCAGGGATGTCCATGTCCTGCTGAGGTCAGTAACCCCAGGGTCAGACTCTCTCTCTCAGATAAGAAATGTGGGATTATTGCCACTGGAATTCTTCTGGGATGTGATTACAGGTGGGGGTGGGAGGTTCCTCTCCTTCAGCCTTTGCATAAGGTTACCGGAATTTGTCTAAAAAGCACAGGGGCAAGTGGCAGAAAATCAGAAAGGGGGGATGATAGCTGGCATAACTTTAAACCTTTCTTGCTTGGCGCCTTCCAAACTGAGCTGTGTGCCTGCAGCAAAGGCAGTAAATAATACACAAGAGAGCATTCCTCTAGGAGCAAGAAGAGGCTCCTATACCCCCACCAACACAGAGTACAAAATGCTAAGTATCCATCTGGGGCCTTTTTACATTAACACTTCCCGAGCTTTTGCATGGTGCCTCATATGAGCATCCTTCTGGAATGTGTCTTGCTTTGCCTCACATGCTTTTGGGACTTGTATATTACTAGCTCTGGGATCGCACTGCCCATCACACGGCAGGCTGTCTTTTCAGAAGAATTTAATGAAAAATAATCCAGGTGGGAGTTGTTTTTAAAAAGCAATCAACTGAGGGTTCAATAGAATTCATTTACATAGCAAGGAAGAATAATCCTCACCACTGCTAGTAGGAGCAGGTGAAATATGAGGGCTTGTGTCACACAGGAAGACAGATTAGATGCTCATAGCGATACATTCTGGTCTTAAAACACCGGGAAGATGTCTTCTTTGAATATTTTCTTCTGTGGTAGCTTGCACTGTGATATCAGGATGCCTGCCTCTGGGTTGCCATCTGCCCTGCCACCCGGGAGCCTGGCATTCATCTTGATCTCTCCGTCCTTAGACGGTGGGAATAGACTGCAAGGAGTGATCCAGACTTTGTTACACCTTGGTTTATTACTGTGGAAATCCTGAGCAATAGAGTGTGCTGACACAGGACAGGGAGACTAATTTATAAAGAGGAAAGCTTTCTGCACTCTAGTATCTGCCAGCTAGCCAATGCTGGGAGTGAAATGACAGAAAAGGTGAATGTTAGTGCGATAGGAGCATAGTGCAGCAGCTAACATCTGTACAATGGGAATAATGCTTAAGTTGTAAGCTCTTTGGGGCAGGGACCTTTCTTTCTGTTCTGGCTTGTTACAGCATCTGGCACAAAGGGGACATGGTCAATGACTAGTGCTTGTGGGTCCTACCTCAATACAAAGAATTAACAATGATACTTCATTTCTCCCACACTTGGTCTGCCTTGGCCATTGAGAATATAAACTGTCAGTGGTAAAGAGAATTTCTTACAAAGCAGAGCTGAGCTACTGTGCATGAAAATGGAAACCCATTAGAAAATGCAGTAAAGGCAGTTCTTTGGACAGCCCTGTCCAGTTTGGTTCAATATCTGGTCAAGAGATGGGTGAAGGCTTAGATTGCTCCTTATTTTACTTGTACTGCTTGGCCTTCTCTGTCTCAAGATTTTCTTCATTTTGGTTTCCGTTTAATCAAGCAGTGTTTCTTTTCTCTAGATCCTTGCACCGGGTGGGGTGGGGTGGGGGGGTTTCAGCTCTACCCTACTGGATCCTGTAGGCAAAGCTGTGATTTATAGGAGGGGCGAGTGGAAATGACTGAGATAGGACAGCTACAGGCATTGCAGAAAAGCTTGGTATGAGAGAAAGGCGTAGGCTGAATTATAGGCATCATTCTTTCTCCTTGTCTAAACCTTGTGTCCAAGACTCCATATTGAGCTTTGCAGTCCAGGAACTGAACTAATAATGGCCCAGCACAATGAGATTTTTATTTGTGTGTCTGAACAAAAAGCTAATCTTTCAGTGCTAAAATAAACATTTCTGCCCTGCAGGGACAGGTGGGTAAAACCTTGCCTATAGGGATATCTTTCACTGGGTTTCCCCTGTCTTATTCACACTGTCCAATCCACTCCTACCTACCAGAGGAGGTGATTTTATTGAGTCCTTGCTGTTAAACAAGATTATTCATAGGCCATAGAATCCTAGCTCCCAACAAACATTGCTCCGTTGCCTGGTCATCTGAGTTACGGATACCCTTGTTGCAGTCATTTTGTCAGCCTAAGGAAAAATTGTGTCTTGTGTGGAGGAGTGAAACCATGTTCTCCTGCATTCCATA